CGAACGAGAAAAAAAATTCACTCAAATTTTGCATTTCCCGCACCTTAATACTATTAAAATAATAAGAATAAGAATAAGAATAATAAGTTATATTTATTTTGACCTGCTAGATTGTCGCTAATGATGATCAACTTTACGTGGTGTTTGTGAAAGTGAATGAGAAAAAAAATTAATATTTGCTGATGCTGAATCACCTAAACCTGTTTGAATAAGTCAATATTTTTTTATCACTGAATGTCTTTTGTAACTAACCATATGTGTTATCTAATAATAAATTATTATCATTAATTATTGCTGGCATATTACTATCATATGTTTTTAAAGTATTTAAATTAGGAATTAATGGTGGATCCATATCAAATGTTGAATTTGTATCAGCACTAGTGACTATGTATGAAGAATTATGATATACCTAATAAAATAATCATTTGATTGCACAACATAGATAAATTTTCTTTTTTTGTTTATCTGTTGTGTTTCAAGAGAAGTATTAGTAGTTTGTTATTGTTGTTAATATTATTTCTTTTTTTTGGAATTAGATAGTGAGAAAATAAAACGAAAGATGTAGTTTAATATTATTTTTTATTCGATTCTTTGTTTCTTTTTTTTATTTAAAGAGAGAGAACAGATGGCAGAGATGGAATCGTTACCAGTAACCGGCTGGTCCGGTCCGATATCGGTTTGGATTTTGGATCAACCGGTGTAGACCAGTATTTGCGGGTCTATATTGGTTTATATTTTTCACTTTCCTGTTCTATGATTGTATCCAAGGTACGAAGGTAACCCACGGGGAGTTCACTGCGCAAGAAGATTTCATTTTAAGCTTCAGCCTGTTGTCGGTAGATCGATATTTTGTCGATAGGTCGGATTTTTCTGATAAACAGACGTATCATCAGTATCCTGTTCGCTACCGGTAGACCGGTTAAACCGGTATACCGACTGATCTAGTCGGGTCTCAAAATTTACAGATCGGTGTCGGTACTGGTCTGGAAAAAGGTAGACCAGTTTCATCTCTGGAATGTATTGCATTTGATCAAAAATTTTAATATCACCAATATCAAAAAAGAATCATCAAAGATCGTTTCTTGTAACTATAATTATACATACATTTTCACCATGGTTCAGAATAGATTAAATATGTTCAATACTGATTCCTGGAAAATATGTATCCTTTCAATTATGAGAATATAAATACTAGTTCACTAAAAACAACCTACTTCCGTCTCTACATGCCTCGAAAATCGTTGCGATTTTGGTGATTCTTTTAAAAAAAGTCAACATAAAATTGTGATTACTTGTACTTCTGGAAAAACCAGTGATTAAATCAGATTTTATTGTAATTATGTTACAAAAAATGATTTGTTGAAAATCGGCAATAAATCGAATTTAATAACTGATCCCAGTCACTGATTGCAACTCATCAATGAATTAGAGAATGTTCCAAGTCTGTGTAATTGACAGTCAAATATAATTTTTACACATTTTTGTTAATGTAATTATAGAAATTTAATACAAGAGGAAGAATTTAGTTTCAGTATGGATATTATTCCTATGATATCAACGAGATTAGACAGCTTTTTAGAAAACAATCAAATGAAACTTCTCATTCATATTCATTTACATCAAAAGATTTTTTTGATAATAGAGATTATTTTCATATACATGTTGAAACTGTGTTATTTTTCAATATAGAATTTTTCTACTTTTAGGTTCAGCTTCACATGATGAGTCCTTCAATCGTAGATTAATGCAAATTTGAAAAATTGTTTTTTATCTATAAGATGACTTCTTCTGTTGTCATCCTCTTAGTCTTACTTTTTAATCACTATTTCTATTTCCTCTGTTTTAGATATTTCATTTATTAACAAAAAATGAATATGCGTGGAGTGACTTCAGAGAAAAATTAAATTGACATCATCTATTTGAACATAAGAACATTTGTTTTTCTTTCTTTTTCGATTATGTTCTCGTTTAACTACGCGAAACTACGTGCTGGATCGTTTTTCTTTTTAATTTTTATTACATATTCTATTCATGTAGAATAGGATTACGATTGTTGAGAGCGAGACAGGGACTTTCCGTTTCCAAAAATTTAGAAAGTTTTTGCGACATTTTTTAATATAGTCTTGTGGGCAATCGTAACAGAAAGGAAATTTTAGTGCTTCTAGCTCGGCTTCTAATAGACACTCCTATGAAGAAGGTTTTTTTTCAGACAAAATATCACAGAAAGTCGATGATTTCAACATCTACTGTTCGATTTCTACCAGGAGAATGAATGCACACATTTTCTGCTGAATTATCAGCTCTTTCCATCCTCAAGAATAATCGTGAACCTTGATGCAGAATACAGTAAGCAGTCATTTTTCGAGTAAAAAATATTCATTATGATGAATTAGTGAGAGAAACTTCTTGGTGTAATAGTAGAAACGGAAGTGACAAAAACAAAATCATTTCTATTATCGACATAATGAAGAATAACCATCGATCATCAAACGACAATTTATCCCGTTTCAACTCACAATTATCGTTTCGATATGTCATGATTAATCGTCAGTTTTTTCACGATTTCAAGGATGCAGACCTCTTTCGTTTGAACGTGGCAAAATATTGTTCGGATCAAAGTCTCTCACTAAAATCTGCGTACACACCGTGGTCCTCGAACTAATATGACGTGCCAAATACTTGATAAAAACTAAAATACCGTGATTTTTGATATATTGAATGAAGTACTTGATCAATGACAAAGATCATAGATCTTGAAAAGTACTGCGTTGTACAAGTGCCTGGTGCTTTTCTTCAAGTTTCTAAATATCTTAACTCAATCCAGTGAAAAGTTTTAGTAATTAAAATCGGTTAAAGTTTCAAATTTCTGTGGACCTAATCAAAATTAATATACTCCATTACTCTGCACCAAAATGCAAATTATAATCGATTATAATTCGCATTTTGGTTCAGAATAATTGGTTTGATAATTTTGATTATAATTAATTATAATTTGGATTTTCGTCTGAAATAATTGGTTTATTAAATTTTGATTATAATCGATTATAATTTGAATTTCGTTGCAGAATAAATCGAGTTATTAATTTTGATTATAATTGATTCTAATTTAGATTTTGTTCCGCAATAGTCATGGTGAAAATTTTTACATAATTGACTTCAACAGGATTCTGATCAATTTTTTTGTACTGTTTTACTAATTTGTTAACGATAAGATGAAATACAACTAAATAGAGACCTTCTCCATGCAAAAAATCACGAAAAAATCGATTAAAGCCAGATTTGTTCCGTTTTTTTTTACATAGCAACCATCTGCTCTTATTCTATGCTACCTTTTAATCTGTTTCAACGTCATATTATCCGTTAATCAATCTTAATCTATTCTTACCTTTTAATTGGTTTGAATCATACACATTGAAGATAGACGCTTTTCTCTGTATTCAAACACGAAACTCTAATTTTTTAATGATTTCTTTGAATTGCTCATATTTAGGAACCATGAAGTTGTCACTAAGCTAAATGCCGGCAACTAAAGTAAAGTTGGAACTGGGATATAAATTGTTTCAAACTGAAATGATGCAATTACACCAGAAATCGATTAAAATCTTTTAATCGATTTTAATCGATCATATCATTATTTAAGCTTTATTTCACAGAAGGATATGCCACAAGTATAGACCTTGTTATAAATAATTCTGTGTTCAAATATACCGTGTAGGTTTTACTATTCATAAAAAATCGATTTGAATTAATTGTATGGATATTTTCACTTTTTTTCTATACAGGACTTCTGTATTTATAAAGCACTTTTATAATTGCTATCCTTACCCATTGTACTCATCTCATATCTATCTTCTACTTACGAAAATAATCAGATTTATTTCATTACTAATTTCGAAAATTGATCAAGCATGATCCATGTTTTCGACGAACTATCAATTGATTAAAATCAGATTAAAACTGAGAAATCGTTACTAATCGATTGAAATTGATTTTATGATTAAAATCGGATTAATAAAAAAAAAAATAAGGAAAACCGATTGATTAGATTATGATTTTTTCAATAGATTTTAGGATTATAATTGATTTCAATCTGATTATGGTGCAAAAAGTGGATGATTGAGAAAAAAATTGAGATTTATCTACTGATAATCAAAAATAATCTTGGTTTTCATAGGAATATTTTCCACTGGGAAGAATGCACACTCGTATAATAACAGTTCATCAACATCAAGAAATTTTGTAGTTCACAGAATATGCAATAATTATTTTGAGTGTACACTTGTCCTGTTGCCTCTGCGCACAATCTATATACTATCACTTCTAAGCACACCTTAAAGTTCTATGTTAAAAAATATATTCAAAAAAGATTAAGAACCCTGCATATAATTGATCTTTGATTCACACTTCTCTATAATTAATATTTTTGTTTGTGATGAATTTTAGGAAAGAAAAAACGATCATCTCGGTCATTTTTTTTTCGACGACATCATGTACGCCAATTGATAAATCAACATGAATCGTATCTTTTAAAGTGGTTGCCTTTTGTTGAGATGACTAAATATAAAAGAAAAAAAAGAGAGCGTATATATAATGTATCCTAATTATTTTTCATTTATATCTTATTACTCATTTTTCTTTACATTCCTTTTTATCAGTATACTTTCTTTTTCTTTCTTACTCATTCTTCGAGATAGTTGTCTTATTACTTTTATTTATTCCATTGATATTCTTACAAGCGTGAGCTAATACTACTAGTCATAGTTACATTTGAAGCAAATTGTAAAGCGTTGTGCATTAATAATGATGCTTCTGTCTTGTATCTCTCCGTTTCTCTTTTTTCTTTTCTCTCTTCTCTGTCTTTCTCTATCATCATGTGAGCACTTGCGAGCGTTACATGCACTAGAATACATTAAAAAAATAATTTCTCTGCAGTGTGAAAATTTCAAATGTGAATCCTTTTAGAAAAGTTGATCGGATCCAATGTAAGATTAATTTTCATTGAAGTAATCTGGTAATACGTATACCAAAACATTGCTTTGTTTTCCAATTATCTATCTTGTTCTACTTACTTCAACGTATGAAAATGTTTCTTGTATAAGTTTTTATTCTTCATCTTAAAGTAGCGATCCGTCTCTTCGCTGTAACTCATGTTGGCTGTACCTGTGAAAAAAGTTTGTACAAATCAGTGTTCTCATACGATCTTTCAGAATTTGTTAAATTTAAAGGCATTGTTTTTTATTCTAACCTGTTCAAATGCATCGGCTTTTTTTGTAGCATTTTTACCTTCGGCATGAGCTGGGAGAATCATTCAAATCAATGAAACAGATATCTTCAACGACTTCTTGCATTCCTACAACTTCTCACAATGTCGTCGACTACAGCACAAATCATCTTCAATGTCGTTCATCTTTA